CCATAAATTCTATCTCACGAATTTCGACAGGTCCGTGTGTGTAACCGGGCGCAACTGCGGGCGAAACTGCAACTGCAAACCGACTGTAATTGGAAGGGCCGTGGGGCGTGTACTATGTACCCGTCGCGTATATGGAAGTTATCGCATAGAAGGGCCGTGATCGAAATCGAAAACCTCCGGGCGCGTATCGGCAGCGATTTCGGCATTCGAATTAGGCGCGTCGACACATAACACTTTAATCGAATTGCCACAAACATTCGAGCTGGCACTTGCAGCTGCGTTACAAACTTTCAATCGCGCGCAAATTGGCTATCATAAATCAACGCCATCGTCGTAAGTCGCGTACCTAAAGTAATTCGAATATTACTACCCGTGCGGCTTCACATCGGGATACATCCTGGAAATGTCTTTAGGATGTTCACAGGATATACGACGATATAGGACGTTTTCTGGATGTCCCTTAGAAGTTTACGTTGTTAGGGTACGTTCACTACGTTCATTAAATCTATAGAGAGGGAGAGAGGGAGAGAGAGAGAGAGAGAAAGTATCAAATTTAACTTAAGTCACTGCTCTTACTCAATATATCGTTATTTTATACTAAAATAATGATTAAATTAAAAATTTAACTATAGATTTAACAATATAATGTTTATGTTTAATTCGCTAGATCTGAATTTGCAATTTTATATCAATTTTATATCAACTCGTGCAGTACGACAGACTAAACATAAGTTGCTTAGATTATATAATTTTAAGAATTAATATATCGCATGTGTATACAACTATAAATGTTAATATAAGATAATCATTCGCCATTTAATTATATACTGAATTAGTTCTTAAAGAATTAAAGTGTATAATTAAAGTAATAGATGTTTGTAACATAATTTCGTGGACGACTAGAAGTAACATTCGTAATGGTGCAAAACAATTTAACCGAGTGCAAATAAGAATACTCACAAATAGCGGTGTATAATTATAATTTTATCTAATTAGCGTAAAATTTGTATTCTTCATATATGTATAATTAATATGTAAATATACTTTCATTTAATTTACAATTAAATGCGTATTAATATTCATACTGCCTTTTCACGTCATGATTCAAATTACTTTTGACAATTGAATTTAGAGCAATTCGATCTGTGAAAATACTGATAACACGATGTAATTACTATTTTACCTACATAGTAAATATTTGGTTGTAATATTGTTCATTTCGATATATATAGAAACGCTTTAATCTGATGATATAAAACTCATTGGCTGAAGTTTCGTTTCGAAAAAAATTACCACACGCATAACACTTTACATCCGCATTAGTTTGAAAGACTATATACAGAGTGAAACTATTGTGTGTTGTCCCTTGTATTTTCTCTGCCTTTCTCGTTCGTATTTGTCCAGAAGAGTATCCTCTGTAACAGTAATCGTAAAAATGTTGTTTCCCGAAACGTTAAATCCGTTTCGTTAGTTTGAAAAAAGCTATCAGAGAATTTAAGCTATCGTAAATTCACAAATAGTGATGCTCACCCCAATCCTGCACGACGACAACGTAAGCCCAGAGCAATTTATTTCGATTAAATTTAATCACGATATGATATGTTTTTTAATTTGTATTTATAAAGCTGATGTAAAAAAAAAAACTTGAGAAAAGAAACTGTGTCCAAACTGCGTCGGAAAAATTTAACCCCACGTCTGTAGCAAGTTGATCGTCTCTCTGGAGTAAAAAGGAAACTTTCGATTTAAGAAACCTTTGTTTACCAAATCACGTTACTAGATTTTTGCTAACGACTTTATGGGGGGGGAGTTTGCAGATTTCATTTCCGAGTGGGCCGTAAATCCTAGAAACTTTTCAAATTAAATTTCTAAATTGCGCTTGATCTAGCACAGGGCACTCTCGGTCTCGCTTAACTACCTTCCTTTATTTTTCAAGCAGGCGAGAAAGTCCGGACAGTTTGACGAGCGTTTTACTGAGTTTCGTTCGGGAATTCTCGGCGCGCAACTTTCGGAAGTCCTGGCCGAGAAGTCCTACGGTGGAAATAATGAATCGCTTCGCACTACGGATGATAAATGTGGCTTTGATAAATCGCAACATCCGCCACTAAATTTGTACTATGATATAATGAAAATGTGCTCGTACAGCTAAAGCTTTCCGTCTTGCCTGTTATCAGGATTAATGAACTCAACTCGAAAGGTAGCGTAAGTAAGAGAGATTTGCAATTTCATTATAACTTCAACTAAAAATATCTAAAACTTTTTTGTCGTGAAAAATAAACTGTTTTTCTGTTTCTCAAGAAATCAGCATACTACGCGCATAGAATGAGCAGCACATCGCACGTCTTTTTCACAATCTTTTATCTCTACTGACTTCCCTGGACGAAAGTTTAATAAGAGATTATTATTTATCACATCTTTTATTCAAAATTAACCCTCCGGAGTTTACGATA